GGGAGGGAAGGAAGGAAGGAAGGAAGGAAGGAAAAAGTGAGAGAGGAAAGAAAGAGGGGTGGAAGGAAAGAAGGAAGGAAGGAAGAAGTGAGAGGGAGGAAGGAAGGAAAAAGTGAAAAAGAGAGAGGAAGAAGAGAGGGAAGGAGGGAGGGAAGAAGGAAGGAAGGAAGAAGTGAGAGAGGAAAGAGAGAGGAAGGAAGGAATAAAAAAGTGAAAGAAAGAGTGAGGAGGGAGGGAAGGTAGGAAAAAGTGTGAGAAAAAAGAGGAAGTGGTGGAAGGAAAGAAGAAGTGAGAGGGGGGAAGGAGGGAAGGAAAAAGTGAAAAAGAGAGCGGAGGAAGAGAGGGAGGGAGGGAGGAAAAAGTGAGAGAGGAAAGAGGGAGGATGGAGGGAGGGAGAAAGGAAGGAAGGAAGGAAAAGGTGTGAGGAAAGAGGGATAGATGGAGGGAGAGAGGGAGGGAAGGAAGGAAGGAAGCCTGAATGGTGACTAAACAGGGCAGTCATTAAATGAGACTACCTATATGGTATTACAAAGGTGTTACATAGGTGAAGTGATTTGTGTTCCCAACTGCTCCTACCGTGGACATTCTGGGCCAGCTGAAACAACCAGTTAGCTTTCTAGGGCAGCCCTACCTATAGTGGATCGCAGTAATCCACTCAGGAAGTGACCAAGGTGGGACCAACCATGAGCAATGCCCCCCGCCCCCCTAGTCCAGGAAGCCAGGCGACAGCCTACCGGCCTCTATCCAAACCGCCTCTGGTTACCAACCATCATATTCGTAGACAGAACTTCCTGCAAAGAGCATACAGGTCATCCTTGACTTACAACCCCAACCTCCGTTGCTAAGGGAGACCGTCGTTCAGTGAGTTTTGCCCCCATTTCACCACCTTCCTGGCCACAGATGTTAAGCGAATCCCTACCGATGTTAACTTAGTCAACCGGTCGTTAAGCGAATCCAGCTTCCCCGTCTACTGGGCTCGTCAGGTGATCACAAAAGGGGGAAAATCCCGTGACCTCTGGACACTGCAACCATCACAAACACGAGTTCATGTCTGAATTTCAACCGCAGGACATGGCACGACACTCATCCGAGTGAAAAAAGGCCCTAAGTTAGCTTTTTCTCTCCCCAGGGCCGTCGCAACTTTGAATGTGTCAACTAATAGTTCTTTGGTCATTTTAGTTGCCAGCAGAAAGGGAGGGAGGAGAAGCAGTGCATTCCTCAAATGCTTCAGATAATTGCTAGGCAGCCGAAGCTGTTGGCACACAAGATTATTACTGGAGAGCTTGATTGATGACTCTTGGCTATGGATGTACAGAACGGTTGGCAGAACGGTTGTAAGTCAAGGGACTCCCTGTCCTCTGTGCCCTTGGGATTCCTTGCCACTTGGAATAGTGAGGCCCCCACCCAGGCCATGTTAAGAGTCTCGCTTACCCACACAACGGGACCCATCTGGGCTGGTCATGAAGCCTCGTGGACAAGCGCAGACGTAGCTGCCCACCGTGTTCGTACACTCGCCTCCGTTGCACACGCCGGGGGTGCTGCTGCACTCATCCGTATCTGGGGAGGGGAAGAAAAGGCCGTTAATCGGGGGCGCCTGGCAACACTTTGGACTGATTAAAAAGTAAGATGATTCCCTTCCCTCCCTCCCTTCCAGGAAAGACCTACTCCCAGGGGTGGGATACCACAGGTGTAACAACTGGTTCAGTGAGCTAGACCGGTGCCAGGCAGGCAGACCCAACAGCTGATCGTCGGAGTGAATGGTTCTCTCCCAGCTAATCTACAAAGCTACCAGTTCGCCAGGGAGGGGAGCAGAGTTTATGGACCCGCAGTGAGGAAAGAAGGAATGTATTTTATTTAGGTTGCAGCATCTGTGGAGGTCGTGCCGTCACTGATATGCCGCTTGAGTTTAAATGATGCATCAGCAAAATATCTATATATCTAAATATTTCTATTTCTTTCTATTTCTATTTCTCCCAGTTGTGATTGTATGACTGTAATTTTGTCGCTTGTCTCCTAACAATTTTTATGGACTGTTTCCTAGTATGATTTGATTGCTTATTGTACCCTAGGACTATTATTAAGTGTTGTACCTGATGACTATTATTAAGTGTTGTACCTGATGATTCTTGACTCTTGACGAATGTATCTTTTCTTTTATGTACACTGAGACAATTTGCACCAAGACAAATTCCTTGTGTGTCCAGGGTATTTTCCCACGTCATTGTAGTTCTTTTAAAGTTGTAGCAACGTTTCAGCAGAATCTCCATCATCATCTGCCATCATCAGGCTTCTGTCTTGTGTTCGTCTGTGAGTCAGACTTTTACAGTTGTTTCAGTTTTAAATTTGGGGCTAGCCTATTGCTGTGCCAGAATGGTTTTTTCTTCATCCTGATTGGTTGGGAGTCTTGGTCTGTGTTTATTGGTCTTGGAGTTTGCTGTGTTCTGCTTGATTGGTGTTTCTAATATCTTCTGTCTGTTTTGTGGCTCTTTTTGTGTCTTGATTGGCTAGCAACATTGTGTTCCTGTATTGGAGGCTTTTAGTGCAGCTTGGCTCCGAGTAAATGGACGGCTATCATTAGTTAGGAAGCTAGGTTTCATTTGGGTGCCTGGTTGGGGTGTGTTTGAGCTGGAGGTATCAGGGGGGATCTGTTTGTGCCCAGGTGTTTGCTTGGCTTGTGGTGTGGAGATTTTTTTGCTTGTGAGTGCAGGCTTCCAAATGATTGACAGTCTGGTGGAATCATCTCTTCTATTCATGCTTTCAGGTCTTTTTTCAATGTCTATGGCTTCTCTGATAATTCTGTGGCTGGGGTTTTCTATAGTGGCTAGGGTTTTGGTGCCATTGAAGTTGATGCTATGACCTGTGGCTTTCATGTGTTGGACTAGTGAGGAAGTGTGTTCCAGCTTTTTGACTGCATTTTTGTGTTCATCCAGGCGGGTACTTATTCTTCTATTAGTCTGTCCAATGTATGTGGCCGGGCATGATGCACAGGGGACTTCGTATATGCCTTGGTTTTCCAGGTCAATTTTATCTTTGGGGTTTCTAAGGATGGCTGCTATTTTTCTGTCTGTTTTGAAGGCAGTCTTGATGTGATGCCTGTGTAGTATCTTACTGATTTTGTCTGTAGTACCTCTTATGTAGGGCAGGACTACAAGAGGTACTACAGACAAAATCAGTAAGATACTACACAGGCATCACATCAAGACTGTACCTATACCATTTCAGATAAGTGACTGTCTAGTCTCCTCTTAATAAACCTCCAGCGATGAAGCGCCCATAACTTCCAGTGGCAAGCCGTTCCCCTGGTTAATTGTCCTCCCTGTCCGAAAGCTTCTCCTCAGTTGCAGGTTGCTTCCCTCCTGGATTCATTTCCACCCCTTGTTTCTACCCTCCTCCAACCATCTTCAGCGCTACGGCCTCTGCAACCCACAGGGCCCCTCAAAAGTCCCTCTGGACAGCTGGACAAGAGCCCCTCCCCGCTTCTCCACCCCGAGCCCACCTGAGTTTCCTCACCTTCGCACTTGTGGTTGGTCTCGCTCTGCTTGTGACCCGCCGGGCACTTGCATTCGTAGGAGCCCACGGTGTTGAAACAGTTGCCCCCTTGGCACAATCCAGGGATGGCTTGGCACTCGTCCACGTCTGTGGGGAGAGAGCAAGGACCCACACACACACCAGCACTGCGTGAGCCCACCAGGAGGAGAGAGAAAAGGGCCTCGGAGGGCAGTCACACCCTCCAAAAACTCTCCCAGCCCTTCCACCCAGAGCTACAGGTCGTCCTGGATTTACGGCCACAGCTGAATTCCAAATTTCTGCCGCTAAGCGAGACAGTTGTGAAGCGGACTCTGCCCTGTCTTACTACTGTAACGTCACAGTAAGCGTTACGGTCAGTGTGGGATGTATATTTTGTGTATATGCGTAGATATTGTACTCTCCAATTGCAAATGGAGACGTGGGTACTCTAATTTTTCTTATCTTCATTTTTAAGTGCTTTGGTTTTATTGTATTGCGAACAGTTGCTGGGGTGCATCCCCAGTTTCGTTGTACTTGTACAATAACAATAAAGTTCTTCTAATTGTAATCTTTCTCACCACTATTGTCAAACAGATTATTACAGTTTGTCAACTCACAAAACATCCCGATGCACTGTTTTAATAGTTGCCATTAAATTTTTTTTTACTACCGGTTCTGTGGGCGTGGCTTGGTGGGCATGGCTATGTGACTGGGTGGATGTGGCTTTTTTTTTTTTTGCTTTTTTGCAGCCCCCACCAGTTTTTTGGGCCTTCTGGACCTCTAGGAGGTGGGCATTTTGGCTCCCTTAAGGCTCCTCTGAAGCTCATAAAGGCAAAAAAGGCTGAGTCCTTTTTTTGGGTTCCTGGGCCTCAGCAAAGGGAATCCTGGCACAGCTGATCGTATGAACAGCTGATTGTCGGGAGGGAAAAAAAAGAAAAGAAAGAAATTCCTTAGGTGAACGTCAGGCGGATGTGGTGAGCGAGCATCAGGAGGGTGGGCGACCGGGTCGGGGGCATGGCCAGCCAGAACTTACTACCAGTTCTGCGACCCACGCCAAATCCTTGCTACCGGTTCGCACAATCCGGTGCGACCCGACTGAATACCACCACTGGGGGGGGACGGGGAGAGGGGGGAGGAAGGAAATCTGGAAGAGCAGGGCAGCCGTTTGGAAGCGAAAGTACATTCCAACTCTTCTCTTTAAAAGGTTGTAACTAAACTACCAGAGCTTTTGTCCGCGAATATATTTAATTGGAGAACATGATTGATGACACCCAGCCTGTGAAGTTGCTCGGTTGGAGAATCTGATTTATGACACACCCAGGGCCGAGGGGGAAAACAGGGTCCCAAGGCACTGTAAATGACGTAGGCCAGAATTGGCTTCATACAGGGCAGTGCCAGTATGTTGCCTCTAATGAATCCTTTGCAGTTTTTTGAAGTTTGGCTCGAGAATCATGATTTCATTAGGGCGATTGCTGGAATCCTGACACAGTTCTTAAGTTAGGAACAGGGTTGTTAAGGTTCTTAAGGCTTCCCCGTGGACATTGCTGGTCAGACGGTCACAAAGGGGATGGTGGCACATGGCAACAGTCATAAAAATGGTCCCTAAGCCATCGGTGATAAGTCGAGGACTCCCTAGGCACTGTTGCGGCCGCCATCTTGATTTTTTGCAGAGGGAACCATGCGCTGTGGACAAAAACCCGGCTGGCTCAAACACAAACACACCACAGACCTTGGCAGGCTCCAGTACGGATGTTAGGAATGAATCCGCGGCGGCAAGGGTGCGGCTGGGCCGGGCACATCTCGCAGGGGTGGCCCCAGGCACGGCCGATGGTGGCGCAGCACATGGTTTTGGTGCAGACGATGCCGCTCAGCTGGCCTTGACACATCTGCTTGTTCACCTGGCTGAAGCAGGGTCCCGTGCGGTAATCTAGGGAGGAGAGAAGAATGGTGGTCAGCGCCAAGCCAGAAATGGGGGTCCCTCAGATGAGCAGGGAAAACAACCCTGAGGGAGGGTGCAAAGGGGGCTTCCATTCTTCAAGATTCACATACGTGGTCCCGCCACAGTCTGTGGGCTGCCAGACTGTGAGCAATATTGTTCAATATTGGTGAGCAACGTTGCTACTTGGAGAAACTATTTTACCAAGGCTGGAGAGAGCTCTGTCCTGTCGGTCAGTGGGGCTAAGTTTTTTTTCCGGGGGTGGTGGTGGTTTGAGGCCCTAAGAAAGAGGTGTCAACTCATAAAACATTTCTATGGTCATTTTAGAGTTGCCAATAGAAAGGGAGGGGGAAAGGGGGGGTTTGAAAGAGCACTGCAGTTTTTCAAAGATAGTAACTAGGTGACTGAAATTTCTGCCCCGCAAAAATCTAACTGGAGAACACGATTGATGACTCTTGGCTATGGATGTGTCCCATTGGAGAATATGAATTATGATACACCCAGGGGGGTGGGGGGAAAACCAGGGTCAAGGGTGACAATGAATTAGGTGTCTCAGAGTCGGCTACACCCAGGAAGTGTCAGACATGTTAATTGTTTAGTTTTGGAAGTTTGGCTCAAGACACGATTTAATTGGGGTAACTGACGGAAACCTGACAAGAGGATCTTCTCAGTGACTTGCCTCCAAAAGTGGTGGATGCCCCAACACTGGGAGTTTTCAAGAAGAGATTGGACAAATATTTGAAATAGTATAGGGTTTCTTGCTTGATTTCTGTAATTGAGGGCTTTTGGGGATCTTAAAATTGTTGAAATTAGCTTTATTTTCCTTTCTATTTTAATTTGCACAGGCACCCACTCAATGCACAGTTCGGGGCAGCAAAGGAATAACTTAAAATGGGTAAGGAAAGCATCAAGCAGAAAGAGGAGGAGGAGGAGGAAGAGACAGAAAAAAGAGAAGGAGGAGAGGAAGAGGGGAGAAGGAAGGAAGAGAAGGAGAGGAGGAAAGAGGGGAACAGTTGGGAGGTAGAAGAGGAAGAGAAAGGAGGAAGAAAAGAGAAAAAGGAAGAGAAGGAAAGAAGAGGAAGAGAATTGGAGGGAAAGATGGAGAGGAAGAAGAGGGGAAGGGAGAAGAGGGAGGTGTAGGAGAAAAAGAAAGAGAGAGAGAGAAGGGGAAGAAAGAAAGAGGAGGAGAAGGAGGAGAAAAGGGAGAGAAAAAGAAGAGGAGAAAAAGCGGAGAGGAAGGAGAGGAAAAAGGAGAGGGAGGAAAAAAGGAAAAGGAGAGGGAGAAAGAGGCAGAAGAAAAGGAGGACAAACAGAAGAGGAAAAGATGGAAAGAGAGAGAGAGGAAGAGCAAGAAAAGTAGGAGGAAGAGAAAGGAAAGGTGGGTGGGTGAAAAACCAATTTTCAGAACGGTAAATGTATTGATGTAGACTTTACACCATCTGAAAAAAATGACATTTCCTCCACCCCACTACATTAAAGGAGATTCCGAAAGAACATTTATTTGGGGGATACCCCTCAGTCTCCCCCCTTTTGCAGCTGGACAATCTCCCTGAAACCCCTTTCGGGAGAGACCAAGTTCTTAACTCTGGAAAGAGCCTCTCGGAGGGGTTTCCAACTCTTCACCTCCACCCTCTCCACGGGATCCGGTCAACGTGGTGGTGACCCAACCGAGATTTCCTGCCTTTGAAACTTGACGGATCCAAGGAGACATCCCACCCACCCGGTCCGACCATCTGCGACGGGGGTCTTGAAGGACAAGAGAGGCATTGTCAGGGCGGGGAAAACATCTTTTCTTAATTTCCTGGCCTCCGTTGCGGTCTGCCTTTCCCACGTTCTGGCTGTCATCGTTGATTTTAGCCTCCGGTCCAAAGCTGGGGGGGGGGGGGGGGGGGGTTGCGGGAATTTGGGGGGCGGTGGTGGGTGTCCTCCTGAGTGGTGTGATGGCCTAGAGGTGGAGCTCTCGCCTCCCAATCAGGAGGCCGTGAGTTTGATCCTAGATAGAGGTAGATATTTCTCTCTCTGGGCACAATGAGAATATATCTGCTGGACAAAACTCTGCATTGGCGACAGGAAAGGCATCTGGCCAGAAAAACATTCAGCTCCATTCAGCTGCCCAGATTCCACTCCACAAGAGATTATGGGGTCGTTAAAAGAGGGTGGTGGGTGTCCTCCCTCTTTTTTTAGCAAAGGGTCCAGGTTGAATATCACTGGTTGGCCACAGGTGGGACCGTGCAGGCTGAGAAATGTGTATATTATCCATTACAGGGGTCCTGCATGAAAGTTTGGGGACATTTTCTTAAATGCAGGAAACCCCTCAACTTACGGACACAAACTAAGCAACATGGTATATGCTGAGGTCTGTTCTAGACCATTGGTTGCCAACCAGTGGGCTGGGGACCACTGGTGGTCTGTGAGAAAATTTGGGTGGTCCGCAGAGAAATGTCTCCCCCCCAAAGCAATTAATCCAGGCTGCACGGGAACACAAGGCTGCGCCGCCCACATGACCCATGGGAACACAAGGCTTGTGTCGCTTGCATTGCGAACAACACGAGGTAGTGAGGGGAGGGGGGAAAGGGTGGGGGGGAACTTGCCCCACTCACTCCACACACCTGGCCTGGCCACTGGGCTGATTCTTTCCACTTCTTTCTTCTTCTGCTTTTGGCTGCATGCAAGGAAAGCAGCCAAAGTCTTTCTTTCTCTTCCCCAAACTCTGCCAGAAATGAGTCTTTGGGACCCTGCAAGGCCTCCTGCTCCAAGAGGCTGCGCCGGCATGACAAATCTCACAAAGACTCATTTCTGGTGGAGTTTGGGGGAGAGAAAGAAAGACTTCTGCTGCTGCTGCTGTCCTTGCATGAAGCCAAAAGTCTCCCCTCTCTCTCTCTCCCCCGAGAACGGAGCTGGAGACGGTATCCTGCGATCCCAAATAAAGAACGATCGATCGGTAGGAAAACGGGTGGGGAATTTTCCTGCAGACTTTTTGGGGGATTTTCCCAGGGTCTCTGGTCTGTGGGATTTAAAATTATGAGTTTGATGGTCCCTGAGGTCCAAAAGGTTGGCGACCCTTTGCCCTAAGGGACAGGCTCCATTATGGTCATAATTTGAGGACTGCCTGTAACATCGTATGGAAAAGACCTAAGTACTCTTAGGGCAGCCTCACTCAACCTTCAACTCTTCAGGAACACTAGACATAGTCACATAGCCACATCCCATAACTCTCAGCCAGAATCCCAGGCATGGAAATCTCCCAATATCCCTTTTTGTTATCCCATGTCACTTTTAGAGACTGTTCTGACCCAAACCTGGTTCCAAAAGAGCAAAACACAAGACAAAGGTAACAGCACAACCTTTTAATGTTTCGTTTACGAATCCCGGCCCTTCACAGATCAAAGGCCGCTTCCAACTAACTAGCTCCGATAAGGAACAGCCTTGCCAAGTTTTGGCAAGGCTGCCAAGGACAACAGATAAAGTTCCTAAACAATAAATCAAAGAGTCTCCAAACACCAACTCAGTCTAACATCCACAAGGCTTGAGTGTAAAAACTTTTTTTGCTTCCTGCAAAGAACTGCAGCTTCTCAGCTGGATTTTATCTTCTCAGGGAGGGCCATCACCTTGCAGCCTTACTCCTGAGTTGCCCATGCTGCTGCAGCTGCTCTTTCCTTCGAGAATCCCTCTGCGCATGCAAGCTGGGCACAGGCTCCTCGGGGGCCTCTTCATCACTGCTCCCAGCCTCCACCATCTCCGAAGGCCGCATTCCACTCCCTGATGATCCTGGCCCCATCCCTGCCTCACACGCAGGCCCCTCTTCTGAGTCCTCGCTCTCTCGGACCTCAGCCGTCCACACCTGCTACCGGCGAACCACAACAGAGACGCTTAACAGAGTCGGAAGGGGCCTTGGAGGTCTTCTAGTCCAACCCCCCCTGCTCAAACAGGAGACCCTATAGCATTTCAGACAAGTGACTGTCCAGGCTTTTTAAAAAAAAACCTCCATTGATGGAGCACCCACAACTTCTGGTGGCAAACTGTTCCACTGGTTAATTGTTCTCACTGTCAGGAAATTCTGCCCATCTTAAAGTCGGTTTAATTCAGACATGGGATTCAAGAATCCCAGGAACCAGTTGCTGGGTGGGCGTGGCCTACCGGAACTTCCATTTTTCACCTTCCCCAGAGTCCGGAGGCTTCCCTCGGGTCTCTGGGAGGCGAAAATGGGCTCCCCCGGGCTCCAGAGGCCCTCTGGAAGCTTGAAACAGGCCCGTTTCCGAACTTCCAGAAGGCCCATTTTTCCCCCTCCCAGAGCCTTTGTGAAGGCCCTGCCCTTACCTGCACTGAAAATGGGCTGCGTGGAGACTTCCGGGAGGGGAGAGGCAGGGTGGGGAAGGACCAGCCGGTCGGTTCAAATACTGATTTAGCAAACCAGATGCAAATTTAACACCCATTTCACTCAAACCAGTCCAAACCGGTAGAATCCCACCACTGGTTTAATTTCCATCCAGGCTGGGGAATTCTGGGAGTTGAAGCTCACCCATCTTAACGTTGGTTTAATTCCCCATCCTGGCTGGGGAATTCTGGGAGTTGAAGTCCACTTCTCTTAAAAAGTGTGTTTAATTTCCTATGCTGGCTGGGGAATTCTGGGAGTTGAAGTCGTCCCCCCCCCTTTAAAGTGGATTTAATTCCCCATCTTGGCTGGGGGATTCTGGGAGTTGAAGT